TGGATACCCCTACATACTGTAGCGTGCATTGTGGAGATATCTTAGGGGTTAGATTGTGATTGCTTTTATACATATTGCATGTATCTCCCTGAGATGCTTACTGAGGAGTTGACTAATTAGCTCCACAGTAAAGCATCACACATGCATCCCTATTAGGATGGAGTAAATTAATTAACTCCACTGTAGGATAGTACTGCCTGACTTGAGTACTATCCTATGATTGAGTTATTTTCTCCACCACAATGCACATGTAGACAGTGACCGGAGTTGGCTGGGGCATGACAGTGCTACAGTGCAGGGATGCCAGCTAACTAGCCCTGCACTGTAGCACCCTCATGCCCCAGACAGCCCCTCCATGGCATGTTGAGCTGGGTTGGCTCAGCCCTGGGCTGACTGGCTGGTCCCCTGGACTCTCTACCAGCTGGGGCTGCATCGCTGCACCTCAATGTGCCATGGTTCCAGGCACACATGTGAATGCTGTGCTTGGGAATAATAGACTCTGGCACAAACTGTGCCAGAGTTTATTGCATCACATTAATATCACATGTAGATGATCCCAGTGAGTAATACATAGCTCCTTGAATGGTCCAGTTGATTTCAGTAGGACTATAAAAGGAGTGAAGTATTACTTGATGGGAGTAAGTGTATTAAAAATAGGCTCTGAGTACAGATGATGCTCTGTACCAAGGACTCCAGTTTGCTAATTTTGTTTTAAAACGCACTGCCTTAGAGATTAAGGGAAGGGGGAGAGAGGGAATGGTGGCAAAACACAGCTTTGCTTTTTCTGATTTTCTACCAGTAGGTGATCTTAATATGGGAAAAAGCTGGACCACTCCAGCTCTTACTTATAGTGGGCAGGGGGTTGCAATAGTCTGTCTGCCAGCATTCCCTTTCACTGTACCCTGGCTGTGGTATTTATCTTTTGTGTATGCTTGATGTGGCTCATAGCAGGTGCATTGCTGCTGTATATTACCTCTTCCCTCAGCTGTTTAGATTATACTAATGCCTCTCTGTTGTAGTCTCCTCTTAGGACAGTTGTTATTTTTCTTCAGCAATAGAAAAGTCAGTGGGATAGCAAAGATATTCAAGTTCTGTCTGTCAGAGGAAAGAGCAGTCTACTTATTGCTACCACTGTTTCCCTGAAGAATTAATTCTCTCTAGAACCGACAAAAGCAGATCAACTATCTATGAAATAATCTGTCCTGTAATATCCATCTCCCCAGTTGTTTCATGCTTCTGTCTTCCCAATTGACTGTTGCTCAATCTGGTCCATGCTTTACAGCAGAAAGGGCCCAAGTCTGAGTGGAGGACCTGGTTCTGGGTTGTGCTGAGAATACTCTGCATCTCTCAAAAGATGCTCATTAATTAGGATTATGCAGGATTGGGCCAAATAGCTGATGCACAGAATAGTTACTTTATGTAAACAGTGCTAAAAACATAATGAAATGGAAAGTGGGGGATCTACTGTATTCTTTGAATTTCACACGAAAATACAAATGTTTGGTGCTTAGAAACAGTTCACCTTGCCCCGATAGTGGCACATGTACAATATACCCAGGAAAATTAGTATTACTGTACAGCATAAGTCTACCTCACTCTTGCAGTCTGTGCTTAGTCAGAGGGTGTACATGCAACTTTACCTCTAAATCATGTACTGTCATCCCTCTGGGATTCCTGCCATGCAGGGCGTGAGCAGATATTTATGTTTTGGAGCAGCCTAGTATAAAGACGACCAGTTTTACACGCTGCAAATTGATTCCTTTGTTCTCTCAACAGAATATGTCCCACTCAATGAACTGCTGTCCTTAGAGGCCTGGTTCTGTCAGAGTGAGCAAAGCTTTAGTAAAAGGGATGCTTCCATGAAAATGTGCTGCAGTCCAGAGCACATGTGGGAAGCAACATTTCTCTCTGTTATGGGCTGTAAGGCCAGGACAACTGTGCCACTAAGGCCACTGACAGGTATGGACCCCCCCCCAAAAAAAAAAAAACCAAAAAAAAAACAACTAGTGCTTTACTGGAAGAGGAAGTGCATTAGTTTGACCTGGGCCCCCAGCTTCTGTATAGATCAGGCTTTTCAGCGGGGCTTTTTGATTTAATCAGCTAGTAGATAAAAGTGCCAAAAAACCCCGCTGAAGCACCTGATCTATACAGATTTTGGATGAGGTGGGTCAAACTAACACAATGCATCTTGTGGGCATGCACTGTGCTTGGCATGGGGGCTTACCAAGCTGAAAGTAAAGCACTGTTTTGCTTTGTTTTTTCATGTCTAAGCAGCCTAAGTGCTTACTATGTACTGCCTCTGCTGCCCTTTGACTCTAAAAATTTACATTTAGTACAAACCCAATGACCACGTTCTCCCTAGACACAATTCTTCTCTCACTGACGATAATGTGTATCAGGACTAACTATTCTGAATTCAGTAGAATTCTACCTGCATTAGGCCAGTGCAAGTGACTGCTTTGAAGATATCTGCAGGGCAGAGGGGGTCCAGAGTTCTTTTGACAGGGTTTTCTGCTGCTGTACCTCCCTGTCTCCCTACCTCACTACTGCAGCCATGTATCACTGTCTTGTTCTATTTACTCTGGCAGCTGAAAGTAAATCCATCAAGGTGCTAATCATTCTAACCTTAATCTAGCAACTTTTAAGCAGGCGAGTAGTCACACTTAAGCCAACAAATAGCTTTTTAGGCCCTTTCTAAAGGTCAGTGGAGCTTCCTGCATACTTAAAGATCAGGATATGTGTTAAGTGGTTTTCTCAGTTAGGGCTAGATTGTCCAAGCACCTTGCTGAACTGAGTATTGAATGCCTAAAATTAACCCCTACATGATAAAACTGCCTTAAGTTTTAATTGGGCAACACGAGACACTTGAAGACATGGATATTTGCAGTTAAAGGATACAAACTAGTATTTTTCCTTTCATAACTTGAAAATAAATATAAAGAGATCAGAAAACTATTTTTTCACTGTATGCTCACTTCACCAGCTATTTACCTAATTTACACATAGAGAGCCAATCTTCTTCAAAGCAGCAGCATCTTTATTTCCCATACCAGTTTATGGCACTATGAAAAGTGGGAAGTCATTTTATATGACACACAGAAATTCTTCTCTTTTATTTAAAGCAGTTCTTATTCCGCTACATAAAAGAGGGTGTGTGTCTACACACATACACACACTGTGTACAATGATGAAAAGTATCATTTGAATTGATAATATAACAAGATGTATACATCTTATCACTCCATACAGGTAGTTTTCTTATAATAGTATGCAAAATGAGGAAATAATTAAAATAAATAAATTTCACTCTGTCTCTTCTAAATCTATTGCAATGGCATTGTAATAAAGGATTAACATGACTGGTACAGGATGACTCGTACTATTTCTGTGCACAGGAAATAGTTAAACATTGTAGGTATTGCTCATAGATGTTCACATGGCCTTCAAAAGTGGCTGAATTATAAAATTAAATAAGCAGAAGTCTAGAATGGGGGAAAACCCCCCCACCATGCATGGGATTTTTCAAGTCCTCTGTGTTTTGATGTGCTTATATACTCTCTGAAGCTAGCAGTAATCAATGGGAACAAAACCCATTTAGTTTCTGATAGATGTTTTTCTTAAAGATCATTAAATATTTGCGTATACATCTCAGAATCAGTTTGGTCTTGGTCTTTCGGGCTGCCTCCTCACACTGTTGCACACAAGAAAAGAGATATTCTAATAGCACCCGGGGTGTAATAAACATAGTGTCATATGAAAGTCATGAGAAGTCATGATTGTTTTACTTTGTTCAGCACTAGTTCTGCCTCACTTGGTGCATTGTGTCTCGCTCTGAGCATTCCACTTTTAGACATAGACAAATTGGCAAAAGTCCAGAAGGAAGCAACAAAAATGATTAGCAGTCTGTAAAACATAACATCTGAGGAAAGGTTAGAAGAAGTGGGATTATTTAGGCTAGAGAATGGAATTCTGGGAAAGGAGTTTCAAATATAGAAAGGGTTGTTATTAAGAAGCTGGTCATTGATTAATCTCTGTTTCCACAGAGGACAAAATGTAAGGGTTCCGTGTTAAATTGCAACGTGGAAGATTTAGGTTAAATATTAAGAAGAACTTCAAAATTGGTTAAGCACTGGAACAGACTACTATGAGAAGCTGTGGAATGTCTATCCTTAGAAATATAAGTGCAAGTTAGACAAATATATCTAAGATGATCCTGTCTTGAACAGGTTAGATTCTTGAGATCCTTTCCAACCTTGTTTTTCTACAACTGCACACTCATGTTTAATACTAAGTCTATAATGACCTACTTTTTCCCCCATGTGTTTATCAACATAACAGCTTTCCAGCATCATTTTTCTCACTATATCCTCTGATCATTTTCCCAATATTCACTTCCATTTTTTCCAAGCTGAGTTTCATGCCTACATTTCTAATATCTCTAAGTCCTTTTGTATTATTTCTTTGCCCTCAGTGATACTAGCAATCCTTTTCCAATTTAAGATCAAAATAAGAACAGCAGGACTGGGTTGTAAGTAACGTCTGCAAACCCTGCACCTGAACTTCCACAGACTTAGACAGAGAAGTTCCATTGACTTCAGTAGGAATATGCAGATGAGCAAAGCTGTTCAGACGCATAGGTCTTTGCAGGACCAGGTGCTTACTTAACAGTACCATTTGCTAGAACATCAATGAAATTGTTATGCAGGGATGGACCTTACACTAATGCCTCAAATGCTCTGCTATGCACCTCTCTCAATGTGTGGTCATTTATTTTCATTCTTTATTGATAATTCTTTGGGCAATTTTTACTTCTTGTGCCTGTGTGTATATCAAACCCAATTTGAATTAATTTTAAGAATCTTATGGGAAACTATGATATGATTTATTAAAATAGAAATATTTACTGTGTTCCCATATCCCACTTTCTTTGTACTTATTTACAGATAGGTAGTAGCAAAAATAACAAAAGCTTCATTGTAAAGTGATTCTTTTTTCTTTAGGTTCCAGGACCAAGGAAGGAGTTGTTCATGGTGTCACAACAGGTAAGCACAAAAGTATATTATTTCAACTGACGTGTTATTTAAAGATACAATAAATCAGCCATTCATCCATTGAATAGGTTCTTGTCTTTGAGAAGGCTCAGATTTATGAATAGTGGTGTGTAATAAAAGCAAGGACGGTGGATGGCAACACTTGGTCTGACAAAAATGATACACAATGATATGTGAAAATGCATATTTTTATACAGGATTATTTTTAATCTAATATTTTAACTCATGTTAGTGACACTTAGAGCCCCTGAGAATCCATCCACAGTAGATTTTAGGCTGGAAGGTGTTCGTTAGGAATTGGAAAGTTTAATTAAGAATAGCAGGTCCAGATTTATAAATAGGATGATGGCAAGATACTCTTGTACTGTTAGAACTTTAACAAATTCTGTGTTGTTCACCTGTAAAAGCAGAATGTTCCTGATCAGAGGAGCATAAACCAGCAGGAGATAATCAGCAGTCTTTTTCTGCATATCCTATCATGCCAGCCTTCACCCGAGCAAGTCTCCACTTCTGGTGTGTTTTAGAGGGTGTGTACCAGAGGTGTAGAAAGTGCGGGGGAGGACATGGTGTGTGGGAGGTTTGAGATAATATAAGAGAGTACGTGTTTGTTAGAAGGAATAAGATGGATTAAAAGAAGAGGCAAGAGGTATAGAGAGCATTTGAAGCTTGAATACCAGGGTGTGTTAGGCTATTCCATGCTGAAGCCATTGTGATGTAGGCTCTGCACCTTATGGAGGTTTAAGTATATGTCTACCCTTAAGCTTGTGTAGACATTTCCAAGGTAGCTATAAACTACTTAGCTCAGGTAATGCTAGAAGCCTAGCCATGGCAACATGGAGCTCAACATGGGCTAATTACTGAAGTATTTCTCTAGCTTCTTCGGTGGGCTGTGCAGCTTCCACTCAACTTTGTGCTGCTATGGCTATGGTGCTAGTAGTATCCAAGCTACCTAGTTCAAACCTAGGTTGGGTATGGCTATGTCAGCTGCAGTTGCACTTTTACTTTAAAGTAGGTATAGCCCAGGGGTGAGCAATTATTTTGGGTGGAGGGCTGCTTACCAAATTTTGGCAAGCTGTTGAGGGTCACATGGGTAGCCCCACCCCTTGACAGGTGCCCTGCCCCCTGATGGCCATCTTGGGACTGAAAGTCCCACTCCTAACTTCTGACCTTTGCCACTGGAAGTCCCACCCCTTGCTCCTGGAAGCACTCCTTTGGAGAAGAGGGTTTGCCATCTTAAGGGAAAAGAAACAAATTGCCTGCTAAAAAACAAACACCCATAATAATATATTTTAATTTAATTAAAAAATATATTTTTGTCCTGATTTGTGTGTTTGTGTTGTATATGCAGAAGTGATTGCATATGGAGGTTTGTGGGGATGTGTGGATGTGTGTGTGTGGGTATTGATGTGGGTATGGGAGCCATGTAGTGCAGAGTGGCCAGCTGGTGGGTGGGAAGGGAAGTGGGGAAAGTGGGGGGGGTGGGGGGAGGGAGTGGAAGCCAGCAGGAGCGTGAGGCCAGTGCCGGTGGGACCCAGGGTGGGTGGTAGGAGCATGGGGTGTGGGTTGGCAGGGGTCAGTGGAGCTGGGCTGGGCTGCACCAGCAGGGAGAGTGGGGAGCTGACCTAGCTCCATAGAGGACCCCGGGACTTGGCGCTTCTGCTGCCCTGCTCTGGGCCCTGCCAGCACTGGCCCCAGGACACCAGCACAGGCCCCATGCTCCTGCCCAGCTGCTGCCTCTCATGCACCCGCTCACTCCCAGTGCCCCCACCTCAGCCCTGTGGTACAGGGAGGTCCCAGGCTAGCAGCAGCAGTGGGAAACGAACTGGTGCTCAGCATGGTGGAAAAGCAGCCGTTTCCCCTCCCTGTGGCCAGCACACTGTGCCCACGTGGGGCTGCCTGTGTTTTCTCTCCCATCAGCTGTGGCAACGGAGAGCCGGCACAGACAGCTCCACATGGCCACGACTGCCATGCTGGGAAGCACAGAGGCAATGGTGAAGCACCTGTACCACAACCTAGTGTGGATGAGCTCTGGGTGGGCAGCTGCAGCAAATACTGCCCAGCGGCAGTGAGTCGGGGGGAAGTGGGGGCTGCTTTCCTCCACACTGAGCAGCAGTTTCTGCCCAACTGCTATTGTTGCAGCTCAGCCCTGATAGGCAAGGCTGGAGCTGGCGTGGGGCCCAGGCTAGCAGCAGTGGGAAACAAACTGGTGCTCAGCGTGGGGGAAAGGTGGCTGCTCCCCCTCCCCATGGCTGGTGCCCTGTGCTGCAGCCACTCGGAGCCCATGCAGTGCTGCCTGTGCCCGCTCTCCATTGTCACCATGGAACAGTGGTGGGGCAGCGGTGACACGGGGGCGAGGCGGGATAGTGATGGAGAGACAGGACAGAGGCGGTGACGGGCTGAAAGTGGCTGCAGCAGGAAGTGCCGGCCACGGTGGGGGACACTTTTCCTCCACACTGAGCACTAGTTCGTTGTGCGGGGTTGGGGCTGTGCACTGCTCCCTGCCTATACCATGGGGCTGGGGCTGGGGCACTGGGAGTGAGCAGGTGCACGGGAGTCAGTGGCAGCCAGGTGGGAGTGTGGGGCCCCTGCTTGTGTCCTGGGGCCAATGCCGAGGGTGCCCAGAGCAGAGCGGCAGGAGTGCAGGGTCTCAGCCAGCAGGAACTCTGTGGAGCCGGGTCAGCTCCGCACTCTCCCTGCTGGTGCAGCCCAACCTGGACCCACAGACCCCTGCCAGCCAGCACCCCATGCTCCTACCATCGCACTCTGGGTCCCGCTGGTGCTGGCCCTGGAATACCAGCACAGGCCCCGTGCTTCCGCATTCCTTTCACTTCCACTCCCCCTGTCCCTGCTGCTGCTTTCCTGCCTGCCTGCTGGCTCCCTGCTGCATGGCCGGACCATGGGGCTCAGCAGGAGCTGGCCTGGCCCCAAGGACTGAGGCAATCCCTGCAGTTGCAGGCCAGAAGCCCCTCCTGTTGCAGAAGCCTGCTGTGGATTCCCCTGGCTCCTCTCATCTTTGACACGAGCCAGGGGCAGATAAGTGTTAATTTTCTAAATTTTTTAGGGGCTCTGTGGGCTGGATAGAATGGCCTGGTGGACCAGAACTGGCCCACAGGCTGTATTTTGCCTGCCCCTGATTTATAGAGTGAATAGCTCTGCCCTCCCAGGACATGGCACTAGAGGATGGTTTTCTTTACACCATTTCAGCTGATGAAGGTATGGTTCTGCATGGCAGACAGATGAGCAATAAACATGAGCTTCTAGAATTTGATTCAAAGCCAGTGGAAATAGATAGGAAAAGTCCCACTGAATTTAGTGGTCTTTGGACTGGGGCAAAATAAACAGTTGATGTGATATTTTGTTTCCTCTGTACAGTTATATAATGGACTGAAACACTCTACAGTGCAAGCCCTCTATAGTGGGCTTGTGTCCATCTCACCCAACTAATATATCTGAAGCTGGAGCTATAGTCAAGGTTGCTTAAGAGTTTATAATCTATTGCTCCCTTCCCAGTTTTTCATAACTTTCCTAAAGTCTCATCTTTTTCCCCCCTGAAATTTTTCAAGGCTGGTTTCTGCTTGAGGATGCTACATTTTTGCAGTCCGAGTGAAAATGGTTTAGCCATTTCTGAGAAAAGTGGAGCGTAACTGTTCTACAATTACTAAAATGAGCTTGTGATTTGTTTAAATAGACATAGTGCTGAAGCAGGTGGCAGAAAGCTGAAAGCTGGCAAGGGAAATTGTTTTTGGGGAAAGAAGTGCCTCTGGGTTCTGCTGAAAATTGGTTTGAATTTATTATAGTTCAGAAAGTTTGAAAATTGAACTTTGCAATAGCTCCTTAAGATTAGGGAATTAAGCTGAACTGAGCATGGACAATACATGGTTATATAATCTATGTGATGAATAATACAGTGAATCTATCTATTGGTATTATTTGCATAGAGACTTCTGGGTGGGTTAAATAAAAAAATCAGTAAGCAAAAAGAGGTATTCACCAGTAAATTACTTAATAAATTAAACTCTTTGATATCCAAACAGAGCAGATATGATGGGTTTTTAAGATCCTGTCTAAAAAATTCACACAGTAAATTTAAAGGAATTTAGTGCCTCTGCCTTGCAATGAGGGACTTGAATGCCTGGGAAAAATATTTGAACAAGAAATTCAGAGGTTTGCAGACAACCATGAAAATTAACAGGTCTAATAAGCATTCAGGAAAGAAAGTGTTTACAATGGGACAGGGACTTATGTATCTTTTGCTGCCTCATACACAAGCCCAGGGAAGATAAGTATCAGTTGCTTTAAACAAACAAACTTTCTAAGCAGCTTTTTTTTCCATTCAATTCATTCACTTATTCCATTCATGTATTTGCTTTGTGTGCTGCCTTCCCCAGAAAAGGCTCAGGGCTACTTACAATAAAAATCAAGGTAAATTATAATATAAGAGCTGACAAAAATATTAAAATAAAATAGTATTAAAACAAACTCCCCAAGCAATATCCCCAAACTTATCCCTGCCTGCTGAAAGTGAGCTGACTAGCTTTAACAGGACAATATAATTTAGCTGAGGAAATATATAAAATGTCTTGAATTTGTATAAGTCCTTGATATGAGGTCTGCAGCGAGATATAACTCTCAACTGATAAAGTTCAGTGAAAGGTAAAGAAAAAGCAGGAAGTGGAACCCTACTGGAACAGGCACAATCTGAAGAGACCCCTGTGTCTGAAGGATACCGTGATTGCAGATAGCGGCATGGACATCCCCTTGTTAATGACATTTTAGTTTTGGACTTGGGACAAAAGCCAGGGATGCTTTGTGAACCTGTGACACATGCTGTGGCACTGGAATCATTCTATGGAGCAACACACCAGGAAGGAAAAATCCCTCTCATGAGTAATTCATTCAAAATCCTGTGACAACCAATCTAGTATTCATATTCATAATAAAAAAGGGAAATATAGCTTATGGCATAAAATATTTAAGAGGTTTGAAAATAA